ATCTGGACCGCATGCTTTAACGGGCTTGTTACCGATAGTGAGGTTCCATTTGCCCCACACATGAGTGTCAAATTTATTGTGAGATGGTCCATTGTTGCTCGGGTTCATACCAATTTTTTCATTTGTATTTTGTATCATCAATTCCTTTCCATTTCATTGAATGCTTATAGCTTCCTTGGATTTGAGGTGTCGAGGAGGGGAACGGGACAGGAACGGTTGTTTTAGGTCTTGTCAAGTGCGATTGATGTATTACATGTATAATATGGATGTATACTTACAAAAACGGCACATTTTACGCATTGATATAATGTACATGTATAAAAATTACGAGTAGAACAAGATTATGTAAACACACATTGTATAATGTGTTATATAGTGTATAAAATACAACGACACATAATTTTACGAAATCTCCAACCGTAATTGCCCTTGGTCTGTCAAGGATATAGGTATATTTGTGTGTATGCTCCTTTTCCGGTCTCGAAAGAAATAGAAATAGGACTTTATATCCTTAATATTTTGAAGAGATAGAAATATATAAGAAATTCCTTTTCGAGTATAATCCCTTTGTTCTGTGCTTTTTTATTTTATTTTTAATAAAAGGATAGTCAACACTAAAGTATATATAAAGATGGGACATGGTAGAATATAATTGGAAAGGCCGCTCCCAAAATTAATTGGCCAAACCAACTTAAAATTGACATGCAGGGAGCTCAAATTGGCCATTAAAAAGATTAACGAAGGTAATACTTGACATGTTGAATATATGCTGTTCAATTAACTTTACCAGTGCTTAAATATGAGCTCATACAACTTTTCATTATTCATTTTGAACAAATTGTGCAGTTGAAAGATATTTCTTGGATTATTTAAAAACTATTGAGCATTCATACTCAACTTTTTCAATGGTACTAAAATATCAACAGAAAGATGTTCAAAGATTCAATGAGGTTTTGGAAAACTGTTTTCACATGCATTCCTATCTAAAATAGCTATTTCTTGCTGGAAAGTCTTTGAAATTTGCTGTCAATACGAGGAATTAGTCATAGTTTTATGTGGCCGGCAGCCGAAGAGCCCCATATGGGAATCTGTTTTGAAGGTTAAAACGAAAGAGACAAGTTTCTCCATAGTTTGTTTGTAGCTGGTGCATGTAAAGTTTTAGTTTGCAACAGAAAATGACCTTAGAATAGAAATAACCAATCTGCATACAAACAGTTGATTTCCTGACTTGGACAAATGGAAAAGCAGTTGGACTATTAGAAAGATCACAAGAACATTTCCAGTACTTCCAAAGCCAAATACTGGGGTGTTACATATTTGGAGAGATACACAATCAAGATTCTGTCTCTCTCACATATTTTGTTTTTGATTTTTTATATAAGTATAAAGAAAAAATCAAAGAGGCTTTGATTTAATAACTAAAATTGAGATTTAAAGATTTAAAGATCTTGAGTTCAAATTCCTATCACCCCTCTTTGCTTCTTAACAGAAATAATCTTATGATCATAAGATAAAATAAACCAACTTCCTCTAGAGGAGTTGCCTACCACATTAATTGTGGGGTGGGAGGTTAAGGGTTCAAATCTTTTCTCTTATCAAGGTGCCTCAATATGAGGTTTGTTCTATATCCATACGGGTGTGTGGTACATCCATCTGATCTAATGGTGGTTCAGTCCCCGTCAGGTTCTCTCGACTCAGTTGGACCTTCCCATAAAGTAGATTTCCCCCTCCCTCGCTCCTCTAGGAGTAAAAGTAGGTTGGACATGTGCCATTACGATTAAAAAAAAAAAAGAAGATAAAATAATGCCACAATAATCCAAGGCAGAAGCGGAGCTAGGACCCAGGAGGGATAACAATCCATCGGGCAATGTAAGGGTTGGATTGAGAATCAATTATATTGGTGATTTGTCAAAATCAGGGCCAAGTGCTGGGGTGTGACATATTTGGAGACGTACACAATCAAGATTCTGTCTCTCAATTTTGTATTATTTTTTATACAAGTTTAAAAAAAAAAAATTAAGGAGACCTTGATTTAGGATTCAGAGGTGCTGAATTCAAATCTTTATTCCCCTCACCTGCTTCTTAATGGAAATAATTTTATGATCATAGGATAAAATAATGCCACAATAATCCGAGAGGATGGTGACAAAGTTGATGGTACAACAAAGATGGCTTTTTTAGGTAGCTTTGAATCAATGTTGATAACTATCAAATTATAAATCAATCCTATACCTACCAAATATTTATTGATTTTTGTATTGGATATTTATATGAGATGAGAAATGTTGGGATAAATAATCTTAGAATCACAAATCCTAGTATTGGCTCATCCCATCCACCAACCAAACGAGTACATACACATCCTGCGCTTTAGGTTAATGGAAAATTTTTGTCCCAAAAAAAAAAAGGGTTTAACAGAAAATACATTGCTTTTATTTTTTATTTTGTGCAATTCTAGGTTTAGCTAATTAATTAAATTGCAAGGTTTATTTGCAGCTAAGAAGGGATAAAAGAATTTTTCAAAGAAGATTGTTCACTCTTCAAAGAGTGTATATTTAGAAAGGGGAGATAATTAGTCTATATATATATATATATATATATATATATATATATATATATATATAGGATTAATTTTCTATACACTTTCACTATCAGATACATGACACATAATTCAAATTTGAAATTCAAATTTTGCATATATGTCGTGCATCCAATTGTGATAATGTATACACTGTCAGTGTATATAAGATTTACTCATATATATATATATATATATATATATATATATATATATAAAACAATCACAACATAAAAACTTTCACAATCCAATTGTGATAATGTATACACTGTCAGTGTATATAAGATTTACTCATATATATATATATATATATAAAACAATCACAACATAAAAACTTTCACAATGCCACTGTATGTAGCTTTCTCTTTTGTTATACGTGTGGCCATATCATGGTCAAAAACTAATCTATTAGAAAGGGAAAGGTCATCTTGCCCTTAGGAGATAAGGCCACAGCTTAATTACACAAGTTGGACGCGTCTCAAGTGATGTCATCCCCACAATGATTTGTGATTGTCATTTTCTAACTCTTCTTACGTTTGACGTAATTATGTACTAAGATTCTAATTTATGAGCCCTAGTGATGGCAACAGGGCGGGTTTGGGGCGGACCCCTCCCTCGGCCCTGCCCCATTGCCCATTACTTCCCCCCGCCCAAGTGCCGCCCACTCTGCAATCCTTGTAGGGTTAATAAATATTTGTCATATAATTTTATTGTAATTAAATTTTAGTAAATAATTAAGTATTAAAATATTAACACATCATCAAGTTATCATCCATTGTAATTTCACAATTGAAACTTATAAAAACAATCAAACAAAAATTATTTAAATACATTCCAACATGATGAAACAAATACAAATAAAGTAGTCAAGTTTTCCCTTTTGAAATAAATACAATCACCAAATTATTATTGTGTTGTTTTTAGAAAAAAGTGTTATTGTGTTAAGTGTAATTAAGGATTTACTATAAATATATTAGTAAATTTAGTATAACTAATTAATAATTTTCATTAGTAGACATATAATTATTAGTATGATTGATAATATTAATTGTGTTACATATACTAATATACATTATATAATACTTATAGCTAATAATATCATTATTATAAGTTTGTAATTAATTAAATTAAATACTATACATATACACACATATAATATATATATATATATATATGTATATTAATGGGTGGTGGGGCAGGAGATGGGCCCCCGCCCCCGGACACCCGCCACGATTGCCATCCTATGAGCCTCCAATCACAAGGAAGATGAAAAAGGCATAATCCTGCGGATATATAAGAACGTCATTGAAGAATTCAGTAGTGAAAGGAAGAAGGGTAGAGATTTAGTAGCTGGGATCATGAGTTCTTCTATGAAAAATTCTAGTCTGGAAAAGAGTGATACTGTGGCCAAGAATGAGGAAATTGAGTATAAAGGAGTCAGAGCCCTACCTTACATTATCGGTAGCAAATTAATGCCATGACACAAGTTTCTTCGTGCTGTCAGAATTAATGCTTTTTCCTAACAAATTTTATCGCAAAAACTGAAATCTTGCAGGAAATGAAGCCTTTGAGAAGCTGGGAACAATTGGAACTCTATGGAATCTCTTGGTGTATCTGACCACTGTCTTTAACATGAACACTATTGCTGCAACTAATATGGTTAACATCTTTAGTGGTACAAGCAATTTTGGAACCTTGGTGGGAGCTTTCTTATGTGATACTTATTTTGGTCGTTACAATATGCTAGCCTTCTCTTCGATAGCATCTGTCTTGGTAAAACTTCTACCATCCTCGCCTCCCACGTTGTTTTCTCCTTGAATATAAAACTGAAGTGAACTTCTTATTGATGATTTTTTTTTTCTTTGGAGGGATAGCCACCAGTCGTATAAAAGGAAAAACAAACTTCTATGTAGTTAGCAAATTTGGGTCTAAATATTAAGAATTCACATCTGTTTTAATGTTCTTTCAATCTGAACTCAGGGGATGATTTGTTTAAGTCTATCTGCGGCGATGCCTCAGTTACATCCACCTTCCTGTGAAGCAAAAAGCAGCACGTGTAAAGGGCCAACAGCAGGGCAATACACTTTCTTGGTAACTGGTTTTGGATTTCTTGTCCTTGGCGCTGCTGGCATAAGACCATGTAACTTGGCCTTTGGTGCAGATCAATTTAATCCCAATACTGAATCTGGGAGGAGGGGGATTAATAATTTCTTTAATTGGTATTATTTCACCTTTACATTTGCGGTGATGGTATCCCTGACAGTAATTGTGTACGTACAATCTAACATCAATTGGGCTATAGGATTAGGAATTCCTGCATTTTTGATGTTTTTGTCCTGTGTTGTCTTCTTCGTGGGAAAAAGAATGTACGTGGTGATAATGCCACAGGGTAGTCCCTTGACAAGTATGGCGCAGGTCATGGTGGCGGCAAGCAAAAAGAGGCAATTGCATTTACCAGATCAGCCATCGGAGTCTCTCTTTGATTACATTTCCCCGAACTCGACTAACTCAAAGCTTCCATACACCGATCAATTCAGGTAATGTCTTAAAAGACTCCCAGCTTCTTCAATGTTCTCGAAAAAATGAGACTTTATTCAGTTTTTAACACTTCTAAAGTAAATGCTCCTTTCATTCTACCTTTAACAAGCAGCATAAAACCCCTCAGGTTTCTCAACAGAGCAGCAATCATAACATCTGAAGATCGTATCAACAGCGATGGCTCAGCATCCAATCCTTGGAAACTTTGCACTATTCAGCAGGTGGAAGAAATGAAGTGTGTGGTTAGAGTGCTTCCAATATGGATTGCCGGCATCATATATTACGTTGTCCTGAACCAGCTGCAGACTTTTGTAGTTTTCCAAGCGACACAAGCCGATAGAAGAGTAGGACATGCCAGCTTCAAAATTCCAGCAGCATCTTACCAAATCTTTCAGATGTTGAGCCTTACGATATGGATACCCATATATGACAGGATCATGATTCCATGTTTACGAAAAATTACCAAGGAAGAAAATGGCATCACTATCCTTCAAAGAATGGGCTTTGGCATTATAGTTGGAATAGCCACCATGATCCTATCTGGTGCAGTGGAAGAGTGGAGGAGAAGAGTAGCTCTTACTGAGCCAACAATAGGCGTTGCACCGAGAAAAGGCAAAATTTCTTCCTTGAGTGCCTCTTGGTTCATACCTCAGATGGCCCTATCAGGGATTTCAGAAGGCTTTACTCTCATTGCTCAAATTGAATTCTTCTACAAACAGTTCCCTGAAAACATGAGAAGTTTTGCTGGATCTTGCTTGTTTTGTGGTTTCGCATCGTCTAATTATTTGTGCAGCTTAATAATAACAGTTGTCCACAAGGTGACCAAAGATGCATCAGGAGGAAGTTGGCTAGATCAAGACCTCAACAAGGCAAGATTGGATTACTTTTACTACCTGATCGCTGCTTTGGAGGTCATAAACTTCGGATACTTCATGATTTGTGCTACCTGGTACAAGTACAAAGGATCACAGGCCAAGAGCAGCCATGAGATTGCCATGGAAAAAACAAACACGAAAAGCAGCCCTTCCTGTACACATGCTTCAAGTCAAGTTTGATATCACTGGAGGCAGGAAAATAGCAGCTACTTGTTCCTCCTTGTACCCCCTAATGATACAAGTTGGTAAACCTAGAGGGATGGGAGGGGAAAACAAGTACGCAGAACAAGAAGAGTCAAACATTTTGGCTCTAAATTTCAAGAAGGCTTCTCTCAGTTTCTATCATATATCTATCAGCTGAGGTCATCACTTTTGGTCTTAGCTTAAAGCTTGATTTGAACATAGTGACCGAAAGTTCAGCTTTTATTAGTTAAATGACAAATTTGACTGAAGAAAAGTTTTTTTGTGTAGACCAAATTGACTGAAGAAAAGTTAAGTAACCAAAACAGGAATATCAAATAGTACAGTAGGATTCACGCCATTTACTTCACAAAAAAAAGTAGCATTCAACATATGAAAAAGAAAATGAAAAAAAATTGAGTATGAGTTTTGTACTAAAGATGTGAGTCAAAATAATCAAATAAGACATGCTCAAATTGAGTCTATTGTAATAAAGTATAAGTTTTGCTAAGTGGTCAAGTTTGAAAGAACAATTTCAAAATATGGTGAACATACTGAATTCTAACTCTGAAAACATCAAACCATGCTAATCTATCATAATTGTAACCCCAACTGAGATTTCCTTGGATTAACTCAAAAATTCTCCATGGTACAAGCCACCGGATTCTGAAATTACATCTTATGTCTCAAGTATTTCAAAATTTAACTGCAGAAGTGATTTGTCAAGAAACTATTACACAGTAAAATCACCTGTCAAATTCCCATCAGACAATCACTATTAAATAAGAGTCCTCATCTTTCTTACATGCAATAAAGGAAGCAGTTCTCCTCCCCCAAGGGAGATTAAGGGGAGTAACATACCGATCTCAGTTAAAGTGAGATCTTGCATGGAATTATAAGTCCCAAGAGTCCACTTTCATGCACAACAAACAGATCTCTGTTTTAGTTTTCTGCACCAAATTGTGGCAAATTCACTAAACTAGTGCAAAAGAGACTCGGGGAGCTTGTACAAGTTATTCAAGTTTTAATAATTATGGTGCAAGTCCCTCTCCAATTTCTTTTTATTTCAATCAAATCCTAGTTAATTATTGGATTCATATAACTTATCCTTTGCGTGGGTCTAAACACATGGGCAGCGTGCTTCGTACCACAACCGTCCAAATACATCACTATTTGCTTTTCTCTTTCAAAAACCTTTTTGATCTTCCTTGTTATTTTTCTTATAGTTTGCTAAACTAAATTCCAGTTGTTAAAGTCATCAAAAAAAAATATCAAAAGCCAATTTCTTTGCCTCAAAAGAGAACTTCTGTGCCCTGGTATTCTTCTTTTGAAATTGATAAAAGTTAAAGTGATGATTGATAATTAATCTATTTTATATTACTTTATATGGATGTCAAATTCAAAACTTTTATCATTTCTATCCAAATTATCACTTTATAATTATAATATTGTAAGGCAAGAGTATAAAAAGTTCGTGTAAATAGTAATCTATACTCTATAGTTGCGATGAAAATTTTTAAAACTTGAGGGTGTCAATGACCCCCCTTGGTTTATATGGCTCTAGTAGTGCTTCCACAGATGAATCATCATGGATACACGCAAAAGGGGTTCACGGAACTGGCAGCAGGTACGGAATCATCAAGCGATGTAATTAAAGAGTTAGAGAGGGATATATAATTAAATTGCAAGTTTTTCTACTATCTCAGCACCCAAGTTCAATTGCACGTAGCCAAAAAATTTGTACATGCAAAGACAATAAAGGAAGTTTAGAAAATTTTGATGAATTCTTACTGCAGTCATGGTGGAGAAAAAACTTGTGATGAGGATGAAGAAACAGAATTTTTTGACTAGTCAAAGAAAGAAGAAATTATAGAATTTGTGGGTACACTTGAAGATAAAGAATTTGTGACTCAAGAAGAAATCTCACATGTGATTGACAAAGAAAGTAAAGACATTGATGAAATTAAAGATGTGATTGAAGATCATGGCGATGTAGAATTTTTTTATTTTGTCAAGGTTGATAAATTTTTTGAAGAGGAAAATCAAATGATAGAGTTGGTTGAGATCAATTGTAGAGTGGGCAAATTAATTGAAAATTGTGTTACTGCTAAAGTTGATACAGTTGTTAGTATGGAAAAATTAAAGCAAAATCATGGTGATATTGAAAATCTTAGTGGTGGAAATTATTACTTTTTGCTGTTGGGAGATTTTCTTAGTGATGTGAAGAATTAAATTATAGAGTATGCAATTAGGTATGGGTGAACATGTTTGACTTTTTTCAGAGAAGTGATCAAACAAAGAAATTGTTCAAGAAGTATAAGTTTTGTCCACTACCACGCCTGAAAATGAAATTAAAGACCTACTGTAAATTGGTGTTTTATGTCATTTATATTGTGACCGAGTTCTTCATGGAAATTCAACCTCGTGATGGCATTAGAGATGACAACATCAAGAGCTTGGTTTAAGAGGGGTAATGAAGGAAATTAAACAAGTTATCTTAGAATTTAGTTTCCTAATTGTTTTAGTTTCTTGTTTTGGTGTCTTATTGATTTAGTTTCCATATTAGTTTAGAAAATCTCAAGTCAGTTCCAAATAAGTTTTGATTTATAATTGTGTTTGTTTAGGAATTTTAGCAATCTATAAATACTATTAGAGTAGTAGATTATTATTTGAATAGTTGACTTGAGTCTTGAAAGTAAGTTTGAGGGAAAGGTTCATATTTGAGATTTTGAGTTATCATGAGCGAAATGCTACAAATTGGTATTGTTATTATTGAGATTTGAGTTAATAAAATCATTGATTATTTGTTTGTGTGCTGATTCTACTCTTCTTTCCACATATTTTTAGATATGTTAAAATTGCTTCCGTCGTATGCATTGTTTTTTTGTGCCAACATCCCCTCCTCCGCTGCCCCCTCCATCACAACAACCACCACTGCGACCACTGCCACAACCACCCTCTCTGCCTTCTGTACCACTATTACCGCCACCTCCAACTGCAGCTTCTATAGTTGTTGCTCCCAAAATAGCGATTCCCCTATCTCTTGTGTGTCACGCCCCATTTTTCGCAATGGAAAATAAAAGTTTATAAAAGATGTGATTTTTATTTAAAAATAAGTGAAAAGAACCTAAAATGGGACTTTAAAAAAATGTGACAGTTTGAGTCCAAAATTTAGTCTAAAAGGGTTTTTAAGAAAAAATAGGAGTCGCCACTTGGTATTGAGTTTGGGTGTGCCAAGTCACCCCAAAAATATTTTTTACAAAAATAAAATAAAATAAACCCTTTTAGACAATTCCAAATCTTTGAAAAACAAGAGAAAATGGATCCGAGAGTCACGGTTGAAGAAAGGGAAGACAAAGGTTTAATTAACTCAAATCTAAGGCACCTTTTCAACCTAGTCTAAATTAGTTGCGAGATTTAGTCAAAATTTTCCTAATCTAACCCTTAAATTTATCACGTTTGGATGTTTCCTACATGGATGCAGTTTTAAATTTAGAAAATATCGAAAGGGACAAAATGTGCATTCAAGGATTTAATCAATACCAATCGCATTAATTGCGAAGTCCAAAATAATCCCTTGAAAGGGATCACGAGCATTTATGAATGAAATTCAAAGAAAAGAAAAGAAAATTTAAATTATATATCTAGATATAAGTGATCAAAGAATAGGGATGCATCATAATGGGTACGGGCGGCAAAACTCGTGACATAATTTTTTTATACAAGGATTAATGGGGTATTTAAACTAAAGAGCTATAATCACCCATATCCATGTTCAAAGAATAATTCTCCTAATATGAACAAGCAAATGCACTAACTTATTTTACAATTTCTTAAATGAAATGCAATTCTAAATGATATGATTAACACATATAGAGGGTAGGGGATAGAGGATAATATAATAGAAAATATCATGTAAATGAGAAAATATTCTAAAAATAAAATATGCATGAAAATGTAATGGATATCATACAAAAGATGAATCTAATGCGTGAATGATCTAAAGGTCTAACGTTGGACTAGACCATTCCTAAAGAACCTTACTAGCGTTGGACTAGCAAGTGGGTGGAGGGAGAAGCCACAACTAGCATTGGACTAGTGTGGTTACGTCATGCATTCATAATACACAGTAAAACAAATAACACATAAATTAAAACAAATAACACATAAAAGCACATAACACGTAACACGTAAACATAATATCTAGATGCAAAAATCCTAAGAAAGCAAGTAAACACATAAGCACACGAGCATGCGAACACATAAACAAACAAAAACGAATAAAGACCTAACTATTACATTTGGATCCCTAACTACAATCTAAGGGGGGGCAAGAGTAAAATAATACCCTAACTATTACAATTTGGCATTTGATTGCCTCTCAAATAATCATCAAAGTTAAATTAAATATATGAAACTTAAAACGAATCAAAACAAATAACTAAAAGAAAATCACTCAAAACATGCAAATTCACACATAAAAACACATAAGAGAATATAAGAAAATTTAAAATAAAACAAGAAGATCCCTCCCTTGAAATGGTAGCTAATTGGGTTTGGTTTTACATATTTAACTATAAAATTAACAAAAATCATCAAGGCATCAATTTAATTAATAAATGAATCATAAAAAAAATGGAAATAAGCATGAAATCTATCAATTGAACACTTAAATGAAGTGTAATCAATAATTAAAAAAGAAAAGTAACTTCTATTTAAGAAAATCAAATCTATTAGGGATCTAATTACAAAAATTAATAAAGTTTTGGTGGTCAAATTATAATTATTACAAAGATACAGGGTTAAAATTAAAAAAAATAAAGTTTAGGGACCTATTTATAATTACATTAGGGACTTAATTGAAATAATTCTAAAGTATTTAGGGCCATTGAACAATTATTCAAAAATACAAGAACTGTTCTGCAAATTCGTCCCAGATCACTTAAGCCAAATGGGCCATTGGGCCTATTCTCTTATTTATTTGGGTCGAAAAACCTCCCAGCCCAACCGAAACCCAAAGCCAAAGGTATGGGCCAATCAACCACTTTGACGCCAAAATAATCTAACAAACTGATGGGCTTTACTCCTCCAACCCAAGACAAACCCAAAGAACAAAATACCTAACCCAATTCCAAATGACCCAAAATAACTAACCAAATCCAATTCCCCCCCCCCCCTTTTTTTTTTTACCAAAACCCAACAAACTAATAGGTGAACTAAAAAATGTTAAAGTCTAATTTCATCCCAAAATCCACAATTAATTAACTAAAAAAAAACTTAAAACATAGAAAAGAAGATTTAATCTTAAAAGGGGTAAAAATGATTTATTTGCAAAAGTTTTTGGACCGTAGTGAAATTAGGCAAAAGTTGGGGGATCAAAAGTGAAATTTTCAGAAAATTCATGCAAAGCTTCGATGAAGCTTTTTCTTCCTTCTGCAACGTTTCTGGCCGCAGATCTTTGTGCAATTTTCTTGCATGGCTGCTCGGTGACGGACCGCTACTGGTGGCCAATTGCCAACGATTTTTTCCGATCACCAAAAATCACCAAAATATATATTCCCACTCGATTTTTTGCGTAGATCCCATTTTTGAACTTAGTTTTTACAAAAAATAAATAAATAATGCAATATTGCCAAATTACAGTCACGATTTTTATTTTAAAACACACTACAATCACCACTAAAAATAGTAAAATTCATACCAAAACACTACTTGTGATTTCTACAATCCAACATGACCAAAATTAGTAGAATAATCCAATTTAATTCAACTCTTCATTTTTTGGCATTTTTTTAAACAATTAACATTCATACACAAAAATTACTTCTCTGTCCATTAATCTAGTTTATGACGTTCCCAAATTTTTACTCATACAACAATAACAAAACCAGCAAAATAAAGCAACGAGCGAGCAACCACACATACATTCAATCTAGTTAATTATAAAAAAAAGAAAAGCAGGAAAAAGGGAAAAGAAATACCTCAACGAAGAGATTGATCCCCTGGCCAGAGTTTTTTTTTTTGTGAAATTGCCAAGTTCCAATAGCCTAACCGATAGCTGCTGGAGTTCTTTTTGTTAAAGTCCTCTCTGTTGGTGTGTGTTGTTCTGGTTGAGAGCAAATAGAGAGCCAAGAATGTTTTCCTTTTTTCTTCTTGCGTCTTTTCTGTCCAAGTCCCCAGCCGAGAGAGAATTGAGAGGGAGTGTTATTTTTTTCGTCCCCTCTGCTCAAGAGAGAGCTCGAGAGTGAATAAGGGAGGGAGTTTTTTTTTTGTTTTCTGTTGAGGGCTCCTGCCGAAAGAGAGACTAAGGACCTCTTTTGCAAAAACTCTTAGCCCCTTCCTTCTTCGTCCGTTGTCTTTCCTTTTCTTTTGCTTTGGCGTTCTTTTTGATCAAAAGTGGGAGGTCATCATGATGCCTCCCACTTTTAACCAAAAAGAAAGTCAAAACAAAAGAAAAGGAAAGGCAACGGACGAAAGGGGGGTTAAGATTTTTTGCAGAAGAAGTCCCTGGCTCTCTCTCGGACAAGGGACGAAAAAAATTTTCCCTCATCCTCTCACTCTCTCGGCTAGCTCAACGGACAGATTGAAGAGGAAGAAGAAAAATTTTGCAGAGAGGCCCTCACTCTCTCGGCTTCCAGACGACAGAATAAAACGCAGAAGAAGAAGAAAAATTGCTTCTAGCTCCTTTTCTCCCACAATTCACTCTCTCCCTCTCTCGATTTCCAGAGAGCAAAAGAAGCAGAGGAAAGCAAAAGAAAAACATTCTCCTCTATCTCAATATTTTTCCAAACACATTTTGCACACACCAAAAACGGAGGTAGCAACCGGTTGGATTGGAGTTTGGAAATTTCATCAAAAATTTTAACAAGGGACTAATACTCTAATTGAGGTATCTCCCTTCATTTTTTATTTCTTTTTCGAGCCTTTTCTTTGTTTTTTAATTAGTTATATTGTAAGCAAGTGTAATTGTTAATTTGTGTTTTTCTTTCACTGTTATTATTATTATTATTTTTTTATTATTTATTTTAGGACTGTTTTGATTTAATTTTATCATATTTGTTTTTGGTTTTATTGATTTCAGTTCATAATTATGTTGTAAAAATCGCAAGGAGTGTTGTAGTATAAATTTTATGGTTTTTATCTCTGTTTGAATCCCCTATTTTTGGGGTGTCTTTCAAAAACTAGTTTTCCAAATACAATAAAAATTTTTAAAAACTACTCTAAAAGGTAATCTAAAAATTAGTTTAAAATTTAAAAAATATCTCGAAATATATTTTATAAACTTTTCTACTATTAAATATTTCAAAATATTTTCTAAAAATATTTTAAAATATATTCTAAAAACTCTACTACAGCAAAATTTTTCAAAAATACCCCCCAAAAACAGCTAATCCAAATGGAGAGTCATTAAAAAAAATAAAAACTGGTCTGTCTTTTGGCGTTTTGGATACTTTCGGGTCTTTTTTTATAAAAAATAATTTCGAAAATGGAATCTACGCGAAAAATCGAGTGGGGGTGTATATTTTGGTAATTTTTTACGACCGAAAAATCGTCGGCAATTGGCGACCGGTAGCGATCCGTCACCGAGCAGCCATTTCCACTGGCAAGAAAGTTGCAGAAAGAACTGTGGCCAAAAAACGTTCATTTAATTTTATCATATTTGTTTTTGGTTTTATTGATTTCAGTTCATAATTATGTTGTAAAAATCACAAGGAGTGTTGTAGTATAAATTTTATGGTTTTTAGTAAAAATTTGAGTCTTTAAAAAAAAATAAAAACTGGTCTATCTTTTGGCGCTTTGGATACCTTCGGGTTTTTTTTTGTAAAAAGTAATTTCGGCAAATGGAATCTACGAGAAGATTTGAGTGGTGGTGTATATTTTGGTAATTTTTTATAACCGAAAAATCGTCAGCGATTGGCGACCGGTAGCGGTCCATCACCGAGCAGCCAATGCCACTGGCAAGAAAGTTGCAGAAAGAACTGCCGCCAAAAAACGTTGCAGAAGGAAGAAAAAGCGTCTTCGAAACTTTGCATGAATTTTCTGAAAAATTGCACTTACGGTCCCTCAACTTTTGCTTAATTACACTGTGTCTCACAAATCGAAAAATCAATCATTTCTACCCTTTGATTTTTTTTATTCTATTTTTTTAATGTTTTAAGTGTATTTTTATTTTTATTTAGTTAATAATTCCTGAATTTGAGGGTGTAATTATATCTTAATATTTTTAGGATTTATTATCTTATTGTGTTTGGTAAAAAAGTTTAAATTTTGGGTTAAGGGTTATTTTGATAATAGATTTTGGTTATTTTGGTTGGGTTTATGATTTGGGTTTAGAGGCCTAAAGCCCACGACTTTGCATGAGCTCGATTGGTGAAAAGATGGGCTGGCTTGCTGTTTTTTATTGTAGTTTAGGTTGGAGCTGTTTGGATAAAATATGGGCTGGCCTGTATATTTTTTCTTCGGCCTTTGTGCGAGTCTGATGGCCTTTGGCCCAAATAATAATAAGAGTGGCCCAGTGGTCCAATTTGCACAACAATCCCTATACTTTTAAATAATTATATTATGACCCTAAATACTTTAGATTTCTTTCAATTAGATCCCTATTTAATTGCAAATAGGTTTTTAAACTTTATTTTTCTTTAATTTTGACCTTAAATCTTTGTAATAATTATAATTTAACCCCTAAAACTTTATTAATTTTTGTAATTAGGTCCCTAATAGATTTGATTTTTCTTAAATAGAAGTTACTTTTCTTCTTTAATTATTGATTACGCTTCATTTAAGTGTTCAATTGATAAGTTTCATGATTATTTTCATTTTTTTTATGATTCATTTATTAATTAAATTGGTGCTTTGATGATTTTCGTTAATTTTGGAGTTAAATAGGTAAAACCATACCCAATTAGCTACTACTTCAAGGGAGGTATCTTCTGGTTTTATTTTAAATTCTTTTATGTGCTCTTATGTATTTTTATGTGTGAATTTGCATGTTCTGAGTAATTTTCTTTTAGTTATTTATTTTATTCGTTTTAAATTTCATATATTTAATTTAATTCTGATGATTATTTGAGAGACAATTGAATGTCAAGTTGTAATAGTTAGATTATTATTTTATTTTATTCTTTACCCCTTTAGATTGTAGTTAAGGCCCCCGAATGTAATACTTAGGTTTTTCGTTGTTTTTATTCGCTTGTGTGTTTGCATGCTTGTGTGTTTACATGTTTTCTTGCTTTCCTTAGGGCCTTTGCATCTAGATATCATGCTTATGTGCTATATGTGATTTATGTGTTTATTTGCTTTTATTATGTTTTATATCATTTATTTGATTATAATAAATGCATGACGTCACCACACTAGTCTAACGCTAGTTGTGGCTTCTCGCTTCGTTTACTTGTTAGTCCAATGCTAGTAAGGATTTTTAGAAATTGGCTAATCCAATGCTAGAGCCTTAGGTTGTTCTTGCGTTAGATTTATTTTGTGTGATATTCATTACATTTTCATACATATTTTATTTTTAGGATTTTTTTCATTTGCTTGATATTTCCTATTATTATATTTCTCATTTGTGTTTATCATGTCATTTAGAATTGCATCTCATTTAAGTTAGTTCATTTGCTTGTCTATGTTAGGAGAATTATTCGTCAAATATGGGAAATGAGTGATTATAACTTTTTAGTTTAAATACCCCATTAATCCTTGTATAAGAAAAATATGTCACGACTTTTTGTCTCCCGTACACCTTATGTTTCATTCCTATTTTTTGGCCACTTATATTTATATATATAATATAATTTTCTTTTCTTTTTAATTTCATTCATGCATGCTCGTGACCCTTTCAATGAATTATTTTCACCATCGCAATCAATGCGATTGGTATCAATTAAACCCTTGAATGGATATTTTGTCCCTTTCGATATTTTATAAATTTAGATTTGCATCCATGCAGAATACATCCAAACGTGATAAAATTAAGGGTTAGATTAAGAAATTTTTTTACTAAACCTCGCAACTAGCTTATACTAGGTTGAATGGGTACCTTAGATTTGAGTTAATCGAACCTTTGCCTTCGCTTTCTTCAACCGTAACTCCCGAACTCATTTTCTCTTGTTTTTCAAAGACCTGGAGTTGTCGAAAAGGGTTTTATTTTATTTTATTTGTTTTTGTCAAAAAACACTTTTGGGGTGACTCGGTACACTCGAACTCAATATCAAGTGGCGACTTCTCTTTTTTCTTAAAAACCCTTTTAGACTAAATTTTTGAACCCAAACTGTCGCATTTTTTAAAGTCCCATTTTAGGTACTTTTCACATATTCTTTTCACTTATTTTAAGTAAAATCACATCTTTTGTAAATACCTTTTATTTTCCATCACGAAAAAATGGGACACGACAGTTTAGCAATTCCACTGGGGATCGGCCCTATTTGCAATTAAAATAAGGATCTAATTGAAAAAGTCTAAAGTATTTAGAATCACAGAACAATTATTAAAATGGAAAATGGCCAATTTCGTCCCTATACTTTTTTATAGTGTCAATTTAGTCCCAATATAATTTTTTTGGCCAATTTGATACCTATACTTATTTTGCGTTACTAATTGAGGAACGCCGCGGCGGTGCCATCATGTAAATTCGATTAACCTTCTAATTGAGCAACTAAGCAAGGGTATTTCGGTTACTTCACTGCTTCTTCATTTTTCACCTTTTCTTCTTCATCTTGCTTATCACCATCCACAGAAGCCATAGCCGGAGTAGCAGATCCGTCTCACTCCAACCAGGCTTTCAGCAGAGTCCTCAAATATACAAGAAGGAATGTCATTTTGATTATGTGGCTGGGAAACCGCCATTGAGCTAGACTGATTATTATATTCATGATTGACATTAGAACACTTCTCAGACGCACTTTGATCAACCATGGCCCTAGCTTCAAATCCAAGTCGTTTCGCTTCATAGGCTCTTGAAGCTTCCTTTATAAAATAATTACCCAACCAGATCCTCTTTCCCTTAAACGGGTTGCGAATTTCTGCAGCCCATTTTCCCCATTTCCTCTGCCTGAGACCTTTGTATTTGGAAGAGGAAAGCCTTGATTGAGGTTAACTCTACAGTTTAGCTAAACCAGTCTTTTTCTTGGGGTTGTTTTTCTCCATATTATTGCTCTCTTGACAGGAATTTTTAGCTTCCGGTGCAACAGCCATAGCCACAGGCTAACCAGGTTGCCTTATCAACTCCACAATAGGGAGAATAATCTCCCTAAGAAATCTCTTAGGCCTCTTTTCAATCATACTTTCATCAGCTGATGAATCAGTATCAGTAGCATCCGAATCGTAACAAAAGACCCGAATCTTCCTCACAGGTCTGGTGGGTTCAGCCATGATTTTTGGCCTTTTGTTATGGTACTCTTGATTCAGTAAGACATATATAAATAGGTACAGGTTCAACCGGGGGCAGGGAGAGGTCAGTTGGCGTGGAATTTGCATTCGCTAGTTTTCTTGGGGCTCTATCAATCAAGAGAAGAGGAAGAAAGATATGGCTCTTCCAAAGGCTAAGGAGATCGTGTCGGCCAATCCCGTTGTTGTTTTCAGGTCCTCCTCTCACTCTCCTATCTTCTCTATTTGCTTACATGATCTTTCGTTTTGCAATTCTAGCTAGAGTAATTAATTTGGAATGGTGGGTGAGGAGGATGGGATGGGGATCGGGGATCCAAGTCTGATAATATTGAAAATTGGGCAGCAAATCGTACTCTCCGTTCTGCGTCAGCGTGAAGAAGCTGCTGGGTCAAAGATCAACAACCCAACATAATTTAAATTCTTCCAAAAAAATAAAAGAAAAGGGGATGCATATCAGGTATGAGGTCCTCTAAAGAATAAAAAAAGTGATAAAAATCACTTTATGTGAAGTCCCCAAAACATATTACTCCAGAACAAGTCCTTTTGGACCTCAATCGTATTGAAACAGTTGGGAAAAGAAAAGAGAGAGAGAGAGAGCTCTACTGGTTTGTAGAGAAGAAATTTCTAATTGGTGATAGCTAGTAACAGAATAGCAGAGGAAACTGAAATCCAGTAGAGCTTCTTCAGCAAAGCCCCAATATTCCCAAAACTGAAAGCCTGGTCTCGCGTACGTCACCGACATCTGTCCTCGAGTTGGAGTGAGACAGATCTGTTACTCCGGCTATGGCTTCTGTGGATGGTGATAAGCAAGATGAAGAAGAAAATGTGAAAAATGAAGAAGCAGTGAAGTGACTGAAATACCCCTGCTTAGTTGCTCAATTAGTAGGTTAATCGAATTTACATGGTGGCGCCGCCGCGGCGTTCCTCAATTGGTAACGCAAAATAAGTATAGGTATCAAATTAGTCAAAACAATTATATTGGGACGAAATTGACACTATAAAAAAGTATAGGGACGAAATTGGCCATTTTCCCGTATTAAAAAATACAGGGATTGTTCTGCAAATTCGTCACCAGATCACTTATGGAATTGGGCCCCTGGGCCATTCTTTATTTCTTCTTCGGGCTAAAATCAACTCAGCCCAATTAAAGTCCAAAGGAAAATCAGCAGGGCAACCCACTTTTATTTACCAATTAAACTCAATCAAATTAATCAAAACCCAATCCAAAAATCCAACCCAAAGTGTTGGTTTTTCACCTCCTAAACCCAAGTCAAAAACTCAGAAAATAAGCCAACAACCCATTTCTAAAACTCAAGCAAAATAGGCCAGATTTTTATATCAAATTCCAACCAAACAAACCTCAATCCGACCCTCCAACTATTTTTACTAAACCCAATAATATAAAAATTTATTAAGAACTGATTATACTCTAAATCCCAGAAATTATTTGCTCAAAATTGGATTTGAAATATGAAAAAAAGGATTAGATCTCAATGGGGGCAGAAATGGTTCGATTGTAAAAGTTTTCGATTCATAGTGAAATTATATAAAAGTTGAAGGACAAAAATAAAATTTAAAAAAGAAAAGGGAAAATCGCCAATTTAGTCCTTAAACTTTTTTTTTCCGTCAATTTAGTCCCTATACATTATTTATAGCCAATTTAATCCCTAAACTTATATTTCGATTCCAATCAAGGAGCTTAGCGGCGGCGCCACCGCATAATTTCCATCGGCTTCCAAATCTAGGAACCCAAAAGGGGTATTTTAGGGACTTCCATATTTTTCATATTTCTCTTTGACTTTCATCTTATGATACTACTACTGCTGTGGAAGAAGTGGTGCTACCGGAGGAGGAGGAGGAGCCAAGAGGAACACTACTACTGCTGCTGCTGCTACTACCAGTACTACTAGGAGTAGTGGAGGTATTGGAGGAAGTGGAAAGGAGACCGGTGCTGTTGAAGCCAATGTAGTAGGCCGAGGAGTCATCCGGCTTGAAGAGGCCGTAGTTCCTCTCGGAGGTTGGGCTGGACTTCTGTTCTCGTTGAAAAGGGCGAAGACATAGATGTTCAAGTCGGCGTTGGGCCTCATGGGCGTCCCCTTCTTCCCGCACACCAGCTTGTTGATGAGGTTGCCGTTGTACTTCTTGGCATTCTCCGGAGTGGCTCCGGCCTCGTCGGTGTCCCCCTTGGAGGGCCAGCCGGTCTCGAAAATACCCTTTTGAAGAACGCAGCTTGCATGTAAATTTTTTTTTTTTTTAAGTAATTTGTTAAATAGCCTGCTTGAAACCCGCTTGCGGGTTTCCTGAGTGAATAGACGAAAATACCCTTTTGAAGAACGCAGCTTGCATGTAAATTTTTTTTTTTTTTAAGTAATTTGTTAAATAGCCTGCCTGAAACCCGCTTGCGGGTTTCCCCCTTATGTAAAATGACTAAAAGCTGCGTTTCTGTTCTATTTATATCAAACACATACTCTCAAACCCTCACCTGAAGGGTGAGGATGAGAGGGGAGGTTTGCTGGGCATCCTAGGGCCCTCCGATGGGCATGTGCAACTCAACGCAGCTTGCATGTAAAAAAATTTTTTTTTTTAAGTAATTTGTTAAATAGCCTGAAACCCGCTTGCGGGTTTCCTATAGCGGAATCCTGAAGGAATTCAACTTTGCAAAGCATTCGTAGTTGGTGCGCCCATAATCTAAGCCGGCCCTTCTTCGCTGAGCACCAGACAAATTGTATGTGGTGCGTAATGATGAGTAAGGCTTTGGATATACTATATATTAGAACTATACATTATACAATGCCAAAGCAGCTATGGCACGCACCCCATTGATCTTCTTCCCAGCACTTTAACAAGCTTTTGAAGGAGATAACTCTGCATAATTCATCCCGATGATGAGGAGGCAAAGATGGAAATTCTTTAATTTTTTTACAAAGTTTCGAGGAAATTGGGGTTTATTATAATTGTTTACACTGGAATAAATACAGTAGGGGTGGCGGGATCGACGATCCCGGAGTTGGGCTGGAAAAGGACGAACTCCAGAGGGACCTGCTTGGGGTTGGCCTTGTAGGCGAAGTAGGGGTAGGCATTGATGAGGAAAGGGGAGCCGGTCTTGAGATGGAAGTTGAGGATGGCAGTCAAGCAGGGGGTGAGGTCCGGGTGGAACCTGCAGGCGAAGGGGAGGTAGGAGGTCTGGAGGACGGCGAGGGAGTGGGCAGTGGTGATGGAGACCTTGTCCTGGAGGTTGAGGGAGCAGAGGACGGAGTAGACGCTCTGCATAGCCCGGAGTAGACGCTCTGCATAGCCCGGAGTAGACGCTCTGATGTGATAGAGGAGAGGGAGGTGTCGTTGAAGGTGAAAACCATATAGAAATAAGATGAAAGTCAAAGGGAAATATGAAAAATATGGAAGTCCCTAAAATACCCCTTCTGGGTTCCTAGATCTGGAAGCCGATGGAAATTATGAGGTGGCGCCGCCGCTAAGTTCCTTGATTGGAATCGAAATATAAGTTTAGGGATTAAATTGGCTATAAATAATGTATAGGGACTAAATTGACGGAAAAAAAAAGTTTAGGGACTAAATTGGCGATTTTCCCAAAAGAAAACTCATGCAAATCAGAATCGAAGCGTTCTTCTTCTTTTTTTTCTGCAATTTCAGAAACTTCATCAGCTGACAGCCATAGTTGCCAGCGGTGACAGATGACCACCAGTCGCCGATCACCGGCGAATTTTCGATCACCAAAAATTATCAAAATACACATCTCCACTCGATTTTTTGTATACATTCCATTTTCGAAGTTATTTTTTACAAAAAAAGACCCGAAGGTGGCCAAAAAGCAAAAGACAGATCAGTTTTTATTTTTTCAAAACACCATATCTTTCACTAAAAATTATGAAAATTATACCATAACACTCCTTACAACTTCTACAATACAACTATGCTTTTAATTTGACAAGAAAACAGCATAAGAGGGCTAAAATAAAGCAAAACAGTCCCCTAAAATTTGTTTTTTCTATTTTGACATTTTTTCAAACATTTAGCATGCTTATACAAATTTTATTTCTTTTCCCCTTAATCTGGTTCATAACTTGTCTAACAACACAATAATAATAAGATCAGCAAGAGAAAAAAAACACAAGCAGCCAAACATACATTTAATCTAATTAATTAAGAAAAAAGAAAAAACTGGAAAAATAAAAGAAAGAAATACCTCAACAAAATTTGTATTCTCTAGCTGAAGTTTTGATGCAATTTCTAGTTCCAATTGTGCAGTTGCCGCCTCCCTTTTTGTTGTGCAAGCGTGTTGAATTTTTTTGGGAAGAGAGGAGGGAGCTTTTTTTTTTCTTCTTCTCCTACATTTTCTTCTGTCGTCTGGAAGTCGAGAGAGTTGAGAGAGTGAGGGTCTCTCTGCAAAATTTTCTCATTCTTCTGTCCGTTGAGCCAGCCGAGAGAGGGAGAGAGAGTTTTTCTCTTGCTGTCTTCTCTGTTTCTTTTGCTCTCTGGAAGTCGAGAGAGGGAGAGAAGGTGCCGAGAGGGAGAAGGAATTTTTTTCTTTTTGCTCTGCTTCTATCCGTTGAGAGCAGGACCTCTTCTGCAAAATTTCTTAGCTTGTATCCTTTGGTCAAAAAGATGGGAGGCATCATGATGGTCAACCACTGGGCCAATGGCTCGGTGGCCATCAGGGAGGGACTTAAGTCCCTCCTTGGGGGAAAAAATCTAAGGGTTGTACCATAACACTCTCTTGGTCTAGTTGGGTCTGTATACCCACCAGCCCCTATCACAGCCTCCTTAGGCTCCCCCTCTCCCTAGATTAGGATAGAATAGGTTATACAAATGTATCGTTGCTGACAAAAAAAAAATCATGATGGTCACCCTCATCATGATGATGTCTGGTGGTCATCATGATGCCACCTTTTTTTTTAAACAAAAAACTGATTTTTGTTTTTTCTTTTGTTTTTTTGCTTTTTTTCCTAAAATAAACCTACAAATATAAG